CTTTTACCAGTAGTCTGCGCATATTGTTCAGTGCTCTGCGCTAGAGGTGATAAACTATCGATGTAACCCACTATCGAACTATCGATAGTCTGGGAAGAGAAAATATCGATATATCGATAGCACTATCGATAGTCACTTAATTTTATATTTTTAAAATTTTGGTTTTTGCTTTTGCACTAAAATAAAATTAACATAAATGTTTGAAAAACGTTTTATCAATTTAAAAAAATATCTACTTGCAATGTCTTTCACATATTCCATACATAATTTTTAATTATTGTCATAAAATATGCAAAAATTTATGTCACAATTGAATACGTCAATGCAGAAACTGAATATGTCCTACCCATCTAGTTTTGAGATAAATAAGAAAAACTGAACAGAAAGTGGACATATGTTCTGGACATATTCAGTTTCTCTACTATATTAACGCCTTTGTATATTCTAGATTACCGTGACATGTGAAATTTCTACGCCATTCGATCGGGCTCCCTTTACTTATAGTAAATCCATGTTTAACTCAATAGCCCTAAAAAGTGGACATATTCAGTTTCTGCATTGACCTATTCAATTATCGATAATTATTTTACCCTTTTTTAAAGAAAAATTATTTTACCATTCGAAAATTATGTTACATCTGGCAAAACTGGATGGCATTTTAGAACATTAAAGATCACTGTAAAGAAACATTTGTTTTAACAGTATAAAATTCACAGATGGCATTGATTTAATTGTAATGTAAAGAAAATTTTACAGTATCATATTCACAGACTAGCGATATTTTTGTTATATTATAGATATAGGTATCGATTTGGCTTCGGCAGTTCGATATATCGATAATAACTATCGATAGTTTATCACCTCTACTCTGCGCCGCATACTAATTTTGCTTTGCGTGTTATAATCATAGGTTATATTAATAGCAATTTAGAAATAATTATTAGCGTTACAATTATTTCAAATGACTTGCCTTTATTTTAGAATAGAAATATTTTAAAAGATGTTGAAGAACAGTGAATGAAACCAGACTAAATTTTAAAATTTGCTTGTACCTACATAAAAAGCTATGTATACTAGGGTGCTTTTATTTCACGACTATTTTTATTTTTTCGATCCCCACTCAAAATCTTGTTAAAAATGTTAAAAAATTCCCTGAAAATTTGAGCCCTTAATATTAACTCTAAGTACTCTCCCAAAGCGTATTCCGTCATCCGATGATAGAATATTTCATTCTGTAACACTTTACAGAATATATGTACATTCCATAGATAAACGTGATATTAGAACGGTAAAATTCCGTAATAGGAGTAGAAAAAATATTTACACAATTTTTACACAAAAATTTTAACACAAAGATATTTTTTGCAGTGTGGTAACTCAAAATACAGTAGCGAAGAAATTGGATTATATTTGCATGTAAAGCTTCCTTTTTCTTTCAAAATTCCCATGAATAACAAAGTTATAACGAATTTTGGTTTTAATAGGAGGATACTTGGTGCAGCCTGTGTATAGGTGCTATACAAATGTTGCGGAGGGCGCACACTTGCTTAGTTACGCCACTGCATAACTCGGGCTTTCCAATCACATTGCTTATATTTATCATGTAATGAAATATTAGTGTTATATCAACTTTTATTGTGTTTAAAATAACAAAACGACTGTAAGGATGCAAATACATATACATACATAATCTATTCCATAAGCTATGTCCCCATTAACAATTTGCAACAGTAAATTAAAGATTAACTATTGGTGGTTAGTCCGCTGCGTTTTTTGATAAAATGTTACATGCAGTTTTATATCACTTACAACAACAATTTGTCCCGGAAATGAGATATTTATAATGTTAAATAAGTTATGTATACCTAAGCCCATATCACTTTCTATTTATCTGTAAATTAAAGCATACATTTTCTATTTCTTCATGTTTAATTATACTAGGTAATTGTAAGCAATAAAAATAACACACCATTCCGAAATTCTGAAATTAATTTTAATAATCGTCGAAGATTGGCTGAAATATTATGCAAAAATTGGTATTTTTTCTATTCTTTTACTTTACATTTTTGGTCACTTATCTTTTATTACTTGCGTAAATACATCCCTGAAAATCAATCACTGCATTCCGGTTTTTTTTTCCGAAAAATCTTAGTAACCTGAGTGGAAGAACTCACGAAGAAATAAATATATATATGAAGTCGCGCTATCAGATATTTTTAAATGAACAAATGGTAAAAAATTATATTTGGTTTCTCATAATAAAATCAGATACCGAAAAAAACAGAAGACGATCAAATAGATAAAACTATTCCTAAATTAGGAATCCTAAGAAACTGCTATCATAAAAATAATATAATAAAGATCAACGAAATCTATTCTATAAGCTATGAATAAGGTAAAAGCCAATACATGGATACATGGAATGAAAAAGTGTTAATGAATGGAATCATTTTAATTTTTCACCTATCTAACACAACGCAATAACAGAAACAGTATCGTCAACCTAGCCTATTGGTAACTGCGACATCACACTGTGAAATTCAAAAATTAAACCAAAAAAACTTCAGTAACTAATAAATAAACAAGAAACATTTAGAAGCTTCTAAGCTACCTATAATATAAGATAATATAGACTATAGATTTTTTTCGTAAATACCTTATTTTTTTGTTTGGGTTCGGATAATATTTAGAGGTCGCTCATAATAAAACGTGTTAGGGTGGTTCACCTAACTGATTCATTAGAGGTTTATAGAGAACTAAAAGAGATAACAATCTAAAATTTTGGAGTACTGTCACTTTTTTTTAAATAGAACCCTATACATTGTTGGATTTTTTAATGTTAAGTAAACTTCTGGAGCTATTGCATTTTAAATTAGTCTAAGATCCCAAGTAAGGTCGACCTTCACCCATCTGCTTACCAGATGAAAATTATATTTTATCAAATAAAATATGTTTCTGAACATAAACCAATAGGGTTGCCATAAAAAATATGATCAAGGCTAGCTATAATAAATAAAAAATTAAAAAAAAATAATTATTTTTTTAAATTTCACCGACTTGCTTGCCAAATGAACGAAATTCCAATGGAAAGCATACAACATACAGAATATGTAACAGCTAGGTTGCCTACCTTTTTCTGGTCCCTATTACCTGGTTGCTTTGTACAGGGTGATCCCCTATAATGTCGCCCCCCTTTAACTTTTTTATTTTAAGTGTCCCAAAAAATTTAAAAGTGTGGTTATGTAGGAACTAAAAAATACTTTTTTTCTACGTATAAAGATACAGGGAAAACAAAAAGTTTATTTTTTTCAATGGATCACCCTATATATGAATTTATTTTTCGATTCCTTGTAAAATTCTAAGCATATTTTATATATCATACCATATACCTAAATTCAACCGTTTCTGAAATATTTAAATTATTTTTAAGATAATAAGTTGAAATAGTTTGTTTTTCTCTGTCTGAGTACGCCATTTTTACTTATTTAACAACACTTATTGACATAATGTCACTATAGTAATTTATTTTCAATAAAAATTTTGGTATACTGAGGCTTCTTGATTTCTAACAGTTTAAAAAAACATTTAATGATGAAATTTCGAATGATAATATTTCAGAAACGGTTGAATTTAGGTATATGGTTTGTTGTATAAATTATGCTCAGAATTTTACAAGGAATCGAAAAATAAATTCATATATACGGTGATCCATTAAAAATAAATAAACTTTTTGTTTTTCCCTGTATACTGATCAATTTTCCAATTTTCTTTATACGTGGAAAAAAAGTATTTTTTAGTACCTACATAACCAAACTTTTAAATTTTTTGGGACACTTAAAATAAAAAAGTTAAAGGGGGGCGACATTATAGGGGATCACCCTGTACAAAGCAACCAGGTAATAGGGACCAGAAAAAGGTAGGCAACCTAGCTGTTACATATTCTGTATGTTGTATGCTTTCCATTGGAATTTCGTTCATTTGGCAAGCAAGTCGGTGAAATTTAAAAAAATAATTATTTTTTTTTAATTTTTTATTTATTATAGCTAGCCTTGATCATATTTTTTATGGCAACCCTATTGGTTTATGTTCAGAAACATATTTTATTTGATAAAATATAATTTTCATCTGGTAAGCAGATGGGTGAAGGTCGACCTTACTTGGGATCCTCTACTAAATCGTTTTCCTATCTTAATAAAAATGTTGACAGATGTACTTGGGCACTTTGAAGTATGTGGGAATGTCTGTATTTCCCTTAATTGTAACGTTGAAAAGTCTATTCTTGGAATACACGATAACAAAGGAGTATCCCACCAGAAGCCATTAACAGTATTCCAAAATGTTAGACAGGGTGTTTGTTTGTTATTTCCGTTTACTTTTATTGACAATGTAAATGCCAATAACTTTCTTATTTCAAATGAAACGACCATACCATTTTCACTCAATTCGATGCAGAATATCATTGTCTAATGATGTAGCATAACATGTAGCTAAAATAAATATTTACAGAGATATTACCAAAAAACGCTTATTTGGCTATAGTGTATTGTTTAACTTACAAGTGTGCTTTGGGTGGTTTTAAACTTGATATTTTTTTTGTAAAAATTGAAATTTTATTGAAAGTTTGAACCTCGATATCTCCAAAAAATCCTGGGGTGCACCCCAATTTTTACAAAAAAAATATCAAGTTTAAAACCATTCAAAGCACACTTGTAACCAGCGTTGCCAGTCCATGATATAAACTACTGTACTCCTGATATTTTCATAGAAATTTGAGCAATACTTTTTTTACTTATTTATTTTTTGATAAACATATTATTTTTGAATGGGTACTGTTTGAGTTTAAATTTTAAATATTTTGTTAAATGTTATATTTTTTCTTTATTATCAAAATATTAAACAAAAATCAAAAAAACCCCTGGATAAAATAAAGTTTATTTTTAAAATTAATTAAGAAACAGGTTGGTTCGTATTAATTAGCTAATCATAAATTGTTTTTTTAGAATAATTCCAGAAATAGAAGAGAAGCCGAAGTCAGGGGTAAAAGCTTTAGCCCCAGTCAAGCTATGGGTTATAACCCTGGACTCATGGTTCATACTTCTTTATCACCTTTTCCTGTATCTTTATATACTCTTCGATTATATCTTAACACCACTTTTGTTAATGAGGTAAGTAAATTCTAAAGTTCTTTTTAAAATAAATTAAAAACATTATTTAAGGAAAAACATTTATACTTGGGATTATGTATGCCCCATGTGTGTACAGATAAGGATATACAAAATTTAGTCGAAGGAGTTGCATCGTATTCTAAAAAAATTACCGTCAAAGTTGAGGCAGTCAGATCAGCACATAATAGATATGATATTTGGAGAGATAGCACCTTCCAAATTTTATGGTATAAAAACACATTAATTTTTTATTACAGTGAACAATATAAAAAACAAATAATATAAAACTATCCTTTTGGGAATATCCGTAACTAAAACGAAGATCTGGTTTTGTACAATACTCCTTTTAGGCCAGTAAAAGCGTATGTTGGCCCAATAATTTTATCCCCGTTAAATATTATTTTTTATGGAGCATACATTCAATAGTATATATTCTTACCCCCGCATCTCTATGGCCCGCCACCTTTAAAAAAAAAAAATTTTTTGTTTTATTAACTTACGAACCGCACAGAGGCCAACAGACTTTTAAAATACTGTCATATTTTTTATAAAACCTATTTTGCTCACCGATGCGCTGTTGCATTAATGCACATATATATATATATACAGGGATGGTAATGTGCTCTTAGGCCGTTTAATAAATAAAGACAAATGCATTATGAGACGTGGGAGTGGTGGAGTGACGTAAGAGTAGTGGGGCAGGCCAGACCGCGCCGCGTCAGGGCTGGATGCTCCCGTCACGGGAGTCCCGTGTACGAGTTTTGGTTTATGCCGCGCATGACGCCACTTGATGAGTAGTTGCCGTGCGAATACACGAATAATAGTAATATTATCAAAGAACATAGAGAAATATCTGGACATAGTGCGTTTTTATTAAACTTAATATTGAAGAAAGTGTTATAATATGGATAATAGATGCTTTTAGTCCTTGATAACATTTAGGGCTGTAGTTTAAGCGTTGGTGTTTTAAATTAAACTTATAGCCACTGTCCAGAAAATGTTTATAGGTAAACAGAAGCGGTCTTAACGTTAATATTGTCTATTCTTTTTGTGGCATTTAACCACTGTTTCCACAAATCAAAGTTTTTCGGGAATCGATTAAATTTAATGTTTAAAGGGTTTTTCTTGGACTGGTTGTCTGAATTGCATCCAAATATGCCACACCTTATTTTTATAAATGCAAATGGTACGACTTAAACTAAAACACAAACAAAACAAGTTAACGCAACACAAAAACAATAATAAACAAACAGAACAGGTTAACACAACGCAATAACAATAATTTAAACACTGAAAAGTAATTCGAACCTTACCGAAAGCAAAAACAACAAATTACACAAAAAATAGAGCAAGTTAACATCCAACAGCATCGCAAAAACAATAATTTTAGAAGCAGATAATTAAAAAGCACGTTAAAGATTTAAAAACACTCATCAAGTGACGTGTTTAAGCCCCGCCCAACATGCGCACCATCCTATCTTAAGGTGTATGTATCTTGGTGGGATTGTAAAGCAGTTAGAGGAGGGGAAGTAAAACATTGGCGGACGTTTAATTGTTTTGATTTAATCGTTTTAAAATCTTGTACTGCACGCTTATGGCAGAGGGGAAATAAGTATTTCGTTATCCTATTCGTTCAACAATGGTTGTTTGTCTCTCTTATTTATACGTTTATCTCACTTATTCGTACGTTTCATATAGCATGCATCTTTGTTTATTAAACGGCCTAAAAGCCCATTACCATCCCTGTATATATATATATATATATATATATATATATATATATATATATATATATACAAAAATAACTAATACGCATTTAAGTAATGATTTACGTAAAAATTGTAAACATTTCAATTCAGTAAAAATCATAAAACAAATAAGAAGTCTAAATTTAAACAGCATTATGCATTAAATTAATTAAAGGCGTTGATAAAGAAAGTCTTCACTCTACGGTAAAATACCAAAAACGGGTAATATAATATGTATGTTGTCATAAATTCGTAGATATATTTAGTTGTTTACTATTTTTAAATGCAGTTGTCGGCGTTTTTTAGAGGACCTAAATATAAGAATGTTTGATTTTAAGGTTATATATAACTTATATATAAATATTAGGGTTATTCAAAAGTTTCGTATAGATATAAAAATGAGCCTGTGAAAAAATGATCTCTTAATTTCAAAATTAAGATGCTCCGAATCACACTTTTCGATTTTCCATAAGAATAACATGGGAAAAATTATTTTTGGTTCTTTGTATTTTTGTAACTAACGAACGATAGGTCGTACTGTAAAGTTCTTGATATATTTTTTAAGAAAATTGAACGCTCTACAAAAATGGTTTCTTTAATCCTTCTAAAGGAATTTAAGGTCAAAGTTCAAGTTATACGAAATTTTTGGGTATTTTAACCAATTTCCAGAGCTCAAAAACAATATTTCGGTTCGTTTTTAGCCCTTTGAACCCAAAAATCTAGGAGTTTTTTCGAGAAAACGACTAAATTGAAGGTTAATTTCACTTTAACCTTGAATAACTTTTAACCAAGTTAACTTACCGAAAAATGACTCTTGACCTTTTATGTAGAGCGTTTAATTGTCTAAGAAAATATTTTAAAATTTTTTAAATTAGTCGGGTAGACTCGCCAAAAAAGTTAAAAAAAAACCCAAAATTTTCGTTTAATTTGAACTTTGACCTTAAATTTCTTTAGAAGGATCAAATTTATCAAAAAATCACAAGACACCTTTTTTGTAGAGCGTTAAATTCTCTAAAAAAATATTTCAAAATTTTTTAAATGAGTCTGGTAGACTCGCAAAAAAAGTTAAAAAACCCAAAAATTTCGTATAATTTGAACTTTGACCTTAAATTTCTTTAGAAGGATCAAAAAATCATAAGAAACCTTTTTGTAGAGCGTTCAATTCTCTACGAAAATCGAAAAGTGCGATGCGGAGCATCTTAATTTTGAAATTAAGAGTTCATATTTATATCTATACGAAACTTTTAAGCGTGGTTCCTAGAAAAAAAAACAAAAAAAGGTTTTTTTTGAATCACCCTAATAAATATATTTACAACAATTATTTTTGTTAGATTTCTTTAAAATTTCAAAACTTAAATATAAATTACATTAGGTAAAGTTGTTATTATTATATATAATATAATATCTGCACCAACGTACCGAATTGGATCCTTTGGCAAAACATGAAAATGCAACGATTTAGTTCTTGAATTAAATTTACAATTAAAAACGCAATAATTCACAATTACTACTTAAATAAAATACACACACTAACGTACCTATATAACCATGGTTATATAGGTACGTTAGTATGCATATAAGCGTTGAGTTTTTTTAATCAATGATATAAGGAATAATAAATCGAGTACTAAATCAAAGTTTTTTGTTTTTACTTGCAACGCGAAAAACAAATAACGTGCGCGATTTAGCTGTGCAATTGAAACTTTGCGAAAAAAATTTGTCGAGTGAGACTTCTGCCTTCCTTTGTTTTGTAAAAAAACTTATTTATTTAAAAATGACGTGCAGTTTTGATGCTGTAAATGTATTGTTTACAAACCTTGTAGTCCCAAAATACTATCGAGCGCCACCAGATGGCGCGCGCGTTCCTAAAACCCGATGCTTCTTTAGCATGTAAGGCTGAAAAGGGTTAATATGTTATTTAAAAAAAAACATTGAAATGTTGACACTGGACAAATTTACTTAAAGTAAATGGTCATCTTATAGGAAATTTCAAGAGCTACATTTGACTAATTGTTATAAGAAAAAAGCAGTCACAAATAATTAGTAAAAATGTTGAATCGCTGCGTTATTGTCACTTTTATAAATTAGTTATATTTGTCTATAAATATTGTTAGTACATTTTAAAGTTGAATACTTTTTTGTGTTTCTATTTTAAGTTTAATTTTTTGCATCTTTGTTTGTTTTCATGGGCCATTTAATAATGGAAAGAAATTAGTTACTTTTTACTCTTAGAAACAGTCAAAGATGCATTACTAATCTTAAATTAGTAAAACTTTAACTATTTAAGTAGTAAAAGGTGACTATTTAAAAGTAAAAATTGCTATTTTATTAGTAAACAATGCTGCAGCAGTACCATGGTACTATTTAAAATAGTGGAATTTTGACTATTTTATTTTAAGAGTTGAAATTACCAGTATTTTAAGAGTCTGTTCACCTCTGTGTGACAATGGGTTCACAAGTTATTTAAAAAAACGTTAGGTGTTTTTTTTTAAGTTGGCGGGCTATAACGTCGCGGGGGTTGTTTAAATCAATCCGAAAACCAAAATCGATAATATTTTTATGCTCTTTTTTAAATAACAGTCCAACCTGTATAAAAGTATTGGGTTCCCTATTTAAAATCTTATACTTTTACTGGACTATTAATTATTTGGGCGCTGTTTACGTATTTTTAAATAAAATCCGAAAACATAAAATTATTACTTATCGTTATTTTTCAAAAAATTTAGTTTTTAAAGGGTATAGAGCTTTAAATTAAAAAACATAAACATCATGGTATGTATTGGCTTTACTGAAAAGATAATTATCTTCATTACAACCCCATACCATTTAAACACAAATGATAAATTATAATTTATCATTTGTGTTTAAATGGTATGGGGTTGTAATGAAGTGCAATCTATAGAAGTCCAATTTTTGAGAACTTTTTACATCCATTAGGCAAAATTATGCTCATCGAACGTTGCTTGCAAATAAATTTATTGTGTCGCGGCATGTTGAGCCGTCTTGTGGACACTACAGCTCATTAAAATTAACGACAATCAATTAAGAAACAAAAAAATCAGTACCTAGCCATTAATCTATAGCGGTCCCCTATGGGGAGTCCCCATTGACTGTTACTTCGGAATCATCTTTAATAAAATGACTTTTTGTGGATGCAACGGCGTCTTTATAATGGGTTTGTTTAGTGAATTGTTTTCACCAAGGTTTTCACTAGTACACGTAGCCATTTAACCAAACAATGAATCTCAAGAGCAGTCTTGTTTTCGGTCCCTTCACAAGCCAGCTTTGGGCTTATGTGCCCGCAATCATATTTTAGAACAAATAACAACATTATCTTTTCAATAAAGCCAATACCATGGCCATTACTATAATTTTTATTTGTTTTATTTAACGTTAAAAAACATCCTTCATTACTACAATACCAATTTGTTTTTAATATTTACTTTATTTTAGCGGAGTTACGACAGTTGTTATGGTTTTATTAATTATTGGAACCTGTTATGATTTTTACATCCAAAATTTAAAACTTAAAAAAATGTTGGCTAAAAATTGTTCTCAATTCACGCAAACTGTAGAAATGCCCGATGGCAAACCAAAAAATGGTAAGCAAATGTACTATTGTATTCAAAAGCAACATTTATATTTACATTTTCATTCATTTACGTACATTATTTCATTCATACTTTGCAGGTAAATGCGGAATATATGTTGTAAATAATAATAATAATGGAATATTACCTTCGGAAGTGAATAGTCGCCAGTCATCTAAATACAGAGAACCTATGACACGTAAATAATTTATTACTAACATTTTTTCTACCTTAAAAAGTTTCCCAGGCAGACGTTAGGTTGTGCTAAATATGTTATCAAAAACCTTATTTTATAATATAATATTACATATAAAGGGGTAAGAAGCAAAACAGCACAAGACTGCATTACAAGTGCAAACAAAGAGAAGTGTAGTTATTAACTTTAAAGTTTTTGCTACACCTATACAAAAACGAGGATACTTGTTTCAATATTGCTGTTTGCATTAATCAACATGCAGAACTCGTACATTCACTTTATGAGAACATTAAAAAAAAATTGGACTCCAAACTATTCAATTCTGCACTTCATGCTAAAATGCACTTGTACCAGTTTGCTTCTTACCCCTTCATATATAATATAAAATATAAAGGGCATCCCAACGAGAGGTGTAATTTTGGTTGTAAATAAAACACATTTTTTAATTAAGGATGATTTTTTATGACAAAATAAAGTTGAAACATTGCCATTAAATATGTGACAAACCATTCTTTTAGCGAAGTTTTGGACTACATTTTCACACAAATGTATTCCAATTTCACTAATAGCCCGTAGAATATTGACTTTTAAGTGTGGAAGCGTTTGCGTAGACTTTTCTCTTCAAATTACCCCCAAAGACAAAAGTCAATTGCTGTTAAGTCGCACGATCTCGGTAGCCTACTGATGTCGCCATTTCGATATATAACACGACCAGGAAATCTATACCGCAATAAAAAGATTGTTTCTTTCAATGTATGACACGTGACAACATCTTGTTTCCAAGTCAATGGCATCCAATTCATGCCATAAAAAGTTTTATATCATCTCAAGATAACGTACATTTCCAGCTGCATTAACAGTGTTAATTTAACACCTCTCGTTGGGACACCCTTTATATGGCCCATATGGTCATTTAAAGTCAAATTTTGAAAAAAATGATAAGTATTTTTTTATTTAAAAATAATATGGAAATTTTGATTTTTTGAAACTAGAAAAATCGATATTTTATTAATACAACCGGTTGTTAATAAAATAAGATTCAACACACTCCTTATGTTGATTGGATCTTGTTGGAAATATTTATATACCAATTTTTTAAATTCTTTTTAAGGTTCATTTCTTTTGACAGAATCTGATGTAGGAAAGTAGTAGGTATACAATAGGCGACTATGATGATTTTGTAATAAGCTTTGTAAGTTTGTTTGGAAACTTGCGTCTATATCCCAAACCTATTCCCTGTCAAATGCGTTCCGTAGTTTGTCACTGTCAAGTGTTTCTTTAACAAATTTCAAAGTAAAAAGTTATGCAGGTACACTGCATTGTGCCATACCAAACCAACCCAAACTTAACAACCCAACCCAACCGACCCCGCCCCATTGGGCCCCTCCCGCCCCATTGAGCAATAGAGGTATTATATATCTAAGGGCAGGCTGGATTGTGACAATGGGGCGGGAGGGGCCCAATGGGGCGGGGTCGGTTGGGTTGGGTTGTTAAGTTTGGGTTAGTTTGGTATGGCACAATGCAGTGTACCTGCATAACCAAAATGACAGGGAATAGGTTTGGGATATAGACGCAAGTTGTTTGGAATTGATCAGCTGTTTGTTTATGTTAACTAAGTATAATGATTTCCCAGACAGCACAAATGTCCAGTAGATATCCACTGGATATCCTATGGATATCTAATGGAAATATTATGGATATGTGTACCCTCTTATTGCTCGCACTTTGAACGAATTTCACCATTTTTCCCCCTCGTTGCACTTTAGAGTGAATTAAAGATTTAAAACCTTGTGAGAAGTATAGACTATATTCAATGTTGTGATGGAATGCCTGATCATCAGTGATGGTATTTAGCACGTGAATACTTCTAGAAAAGGGTTAAAAAAAGTAATACGAAGGCGCCGGGTATCGATCCCGGTACCTGTACAATAAATATTAATTAAAGGTAATTGCATCAATTTTTTTTTAGGCAACCCATCAGCAATGTATTACAGGAGTTTAAACGAATTAAACAATTCATTAGACAGCCATTCCACGATATTTGGGAATTTTTGTAGGGTCCGTTACAATCAAAAATTGTGAGTAAAACTACCGTAATTATTAAGCTTATAAGTTTAAGCCTAATTATTACAAGCATAATAAACATGTTTGCAATATTAACTATTGTAACAGTATTTAATTTAATTACGGTAGCTTTTACTCACAATTTTTGATTGTAACGGACGCTACAAAAATTCCCGAGTAGCGTGGAATGGCTGTAGAATTTTTTTTAGATACCTAAACAAAAATTACAAATAATATATTATATTTGACATAAATATCTGTACAAAAAGTAAACAGTGTATATTTTTGTAAAATTCAAGGTGAATATATTATCATAGGCACCAGTAGCGAACAAAGGTGATTGGGGCCCCCCAGCAAATTTTGAGCTGGGGCCCCTTTGTCACTTATACCACCCAATGTGGTTCTCTACGGGGCCCCTAAGGTCGGGGGCCCCCGCACCGCGGGTGCTGCGGCATGACGATTATTCATTTATTTTTAACAAAAGTATTATAAAAAAAGCCCGTATATGACGTCATTTCCTTCTCGTGTCGGTTTTTCTATGCTTACTTCCCACCCCGAAACGTTTTCTTCCACTTTATCCTCGACTCAAGTATAGAGCATACAATATTCATTTTTACATGGCCCAAATAACTCCACCCAGTGGCGTAGCGACAGTACCGCGAACGCCCGCCAAGCGGGGGGCCCTAACCTCGTAGGGGGCCCGGCCGATACTTGCCCCAAAACATTAAAATACTTATTTCCATCTTACTTATACTAAAAATTGAATAATAATGAATGATTAATTAAAAATATCATAATTTTCGCGGGGGGGCCCGAAATTTGTCGCTACGCCACTGACTCCACCGTGGAGGCAGGCCGCCTCCACGAATGACAGAATGAATAACATTCATCAGCACGAGTTTTGAACGCTTGGCTCAGGTGTAGAAATCATACTGCAAATACTTCAGGGAGGTATTGAGAAACTTGACTGGGATTCCTATTCATCACAAAATATTCAACGCACATGAGCTGCGAATATAAAAGGTCAAATCTAGAACCATATTCAGGTCCATAGAACTTGAATACATTGTTTATATAAATTGCATAAAAAATTAAGATTTTTTTATTTAAATATTTAAAACAAGATCTAATCTCGAACTTTTGCCAACACACATTAGAAGTTTGTTGAATCTTATTCCAGCTACAAACAGTTGTATATGGATCGATTTTTCTCCAACATTTTACATAATATGATATTATCATTTTGAAATAAAAAAATACGTCTTATTTTCGTATCGTATAAGAAAAATTTAGCATAAAATGACCAACATATCGTTCAGGCACAATAAAACTCAAAATATCATTTTTTTAGGATGGTGATTTTAAAATTTCCTTTACTTATGTAATACTTACAGGTCCATGGTACCAAAATGTTATTATTGACTTTATCATTTTAAAACCAAATATATGTTTTTGCATGTTTATTCTAGAAAATTTGTTTTTTGAGTTGTCACTTTTCTTGAGCATGAACGATTTATAGAGCATTTCATGTCAAGCGAACAACAAAAAATATTAAAGTTTTTTGTTTATATTTGTGACGCGATCCGAAAAAAGGGGACCTAAGCGTCTAAAAATCGCGCGCTAGCGCCTCTGAAATTATGGCTGGGACGCTTAGGTCCCTTTGATATTGTTGTTGGCTTAAAATGTACTATAGTCCTATATCCTTTTAAAATTTTCGAAAAAATATTTTTTAAATAAATTTTATTTTATTGATAAACCATATGTAATAGGCACAGTGCGCCTCTGTAAAGTTTAAGTTTTTTGAAAAGACCACCCAAATTTTTTTGTTGTTGATTATAGTGGACCATCCCCTCATTACATACCACTAGTCACCTAAATCGCAGCTGATCCTTCTTGAAAGATTTTTAGCTCTTTAGATTTTTTTTTTAAGTATTTTTATAAAATTCAATTAAATGGAGACAAAATCGGTTTATTGTATTTATATGTATCGGTTTATACTTGTAGATTATAATAAGAAAATTAAAAAATATATCAAATACAGTCTTTAACAAAATCAAAATATATCAAATTTATTACCCTTAAAATATTACAAAAATTAATTAAACAATTTCAAACAAGAGCAAAATTCTTTATATCACTACTGTCCGTATCGCAGGTCATTTACATCATTGATTTTGTATTTCTTCCAAATTAACAAAAATTCTCGATGAACAGACTCACCAGCTTGTTCCGACCACAGACCCAACCAAGTTTTAAAAAATTGGACCGTTTCTACAAGATGCTCCAAAGGGTCTGCGAGACTCCTGCGCCCTTTAAAACTGCTTTAAAAAGTGACACGTCAGCCTTCAGTTTACTTAAGGTACAAAGCAGCTCCGAACCAAAACACTTTTCAACAATACGATTCATTGTGTTGAAAGCCACAACAAAGGGTATACCATAAACTTCTTCCAGGTTGACTAATATCTCTTTTGACTTTAAATCTTCTGCATTTTTCAACAACTTTCTGCAGGCATTCCCTTCAAAAAGTTCTCCTTGATAATTTTTCATGACTAAGTGTAGCTGTTTAGGACATTTTAATGCGTTTTCTTTGCCTAGCAGTGGTACAAGTCCTTTAAAAAATAAATGAATAATAAATATTTGCAAAAGATGAAGTTCCGGAATAATACATTTCTTGAAAATTTTAACGTCATCTTCTTCTTTGAAAATGGCTTTATTGATAGTACTAAAAGATTCATTTCCACGTTTTAAGTTTTTTTCAAAAATTAAGTCAAATTTATTGAAATGTAGTGTATTATCGCCATAGGAGCGCAACTCTTTATGATATTCACTGATCGAAGTTCTTTTAACGAAATGTAGCAATAAGGACATGGGTAGAACGATGTTGCTGTCTGTAAGTCATTAACCATTAGAATTATTTTAAAGTCAGAAAGAAATTTAAAGGATAACTTGTTTATTTTTACCAAGTCAAAAAGTAAGTTAAGATTTTCGTATGTTTCTTTGATGTTAGGAACCATACAGAGGATGATCAGTCTCTTAACACCTATAAGTTTTCCTTTTTTGCAGCGTTACCTCCATCTGAATTCCTCGAACGCAATGAAATTTCATTCTCTTTATTTTCTGGATCTTCTGGAAATATGGACATATTTTAAAAATGTAACCTTGACATTTGGTGTGCCAAACTCTTGTTTCCTTTCTAAAATTTCGTTTACTAGGTCACTTGCATCTGCATAAATAACTGTCCGTAGGAGTTTTCCCTCCAAGGTTTCCAAAATTAAAAAACTTCTTTATAGTATTTAAACAAAATACGAGATCGACTTCTTCGCGAGGTTCTATATTGCCTGGGTATTGATTTTTTTCCTGCCGATGTTTCCGATACATAATATTTGTAATTTTATCTATCTGCCTGCCAGAAAGCCAGCATTTGTTTGGAAATTAATTGAATTTTATAAAAATACTTAAAAAAATTAAAAAAATCTAAAGAGCTAAAAAAGTTTCAAGAAGGATCAGCTGCGATTTAGGTGACTAGTGGTATGTAATGAGGGCATGGTCCACTATAATCAACAACAAAAAAATTTGGGTGGTCTTTTCAAAAAACTTAAACTTTACAGAGGCGCGCTGTGTAGGGTTATAAAATAATGCATTCTAATTTGTAGGACTAATATTCAGAGAAACACTGCTATCTTTTTCCCTAAGAGCCAACATAAAAACAATTTGCGATAAAACAGTGGGCAGCGATACAATTCCAGTTATTCATGGTTTAAAATCCATAAGCATGGCATGGGTTATATTGGGACACACTTGCATTGTAGCTTTTAAATATTCCGATAACATGGAATACCGAAAAGTTGTCCAAAAAGAATTTCTATTTCAAACTATATTGAATGGTACATTCAGTGTTGATACATTCTTTTTTACTAGCGGATTATTGGTATCTTTTCTTTACTTTAGAACAAATGCTAAAGGTAAATTGGATCCTCTAACGAATGGAACAACTGGATTTTTGGCTGGATTCTTGCACTTTGTAGGACTAATTATGTATAGATTTGCAAGGTAAATAAAATAATAAATAATTTGTCAAATTGTGTGCTTAACATTTTTTAGGCTTACAGCTCCGTATTTATTCTCTGTTGGTTTGGTGGAGGTTTCCATGAAATGGTTTCACTACAATTCAGTCTTTGAGGTTCCTGCACTGGATCATGAAAATTGTCCCAAATACTGGTGGAGAAATATACTCTATATTAACACTTTATATCCTGTTGAAGAAATGGTTTGGAAACTTATAACTTAAAAATTCAAATAAAAAAGTTTTTTTATTTTAGTGTATGCTTTGGAGTTGGTACTTATCGGATGATACCCAATTTTACATAATTGGAGCTATAATGCTTATAGTAGCTGCAAAGTAAGTCTTTACAGCAGCTCAATATAATAAATATAATATAAAAATAATAAATAATAAGATATAATATATATTAGGGTGATTAAAAAAAACTTGTTTTCAAGAAACTTTCTTGACCCATTACTGGAAATATTCATAAGAAATAATTGAACCTACACCTCCTACTTAAAACAAAAAACTTTGGCGAGGTGTAGGGTCAATTATTTCTTATGAATATTACCAGTAATGGGTCATGAAAGTTTTTGAAGAGACTAAGAACATTGAATGTTTAATTTTTCTTATGTTATTCTTATGGAAAATCGAAAAGTGCGATTTGTAAATAAAGAGCTCATCTCTTCACAGGCTCATTTTTATACGAAACTTTTGAGCTAGGTTCCGAGAACAAGTTTTTTTTTAATCACCCTAATATATATAATATATTATGCTGTAGCATTATTTAATAATATTTAAATCATAGACACTATACGAGGTTTGTTAAAAAATAAAGAGGATTTTCATTTTTTGGGGAAACTATTATAATAATTATTAATGTTTTTAACAATGTTTATGTTTAAATTTCACCGATCGGGTAATGGCCACTTGCACCGTTTTCTCTAACTGATCAGTTAAATTAACTGCCAAGTTAACAGGGGATTAGTGTACAAAATCTTGCACCGTGATTTTTTAACTATGGTTTAAAATTTAACTAGTGATCTAGGGAATTTCACTAAAAAATCGAAAAGATTGGTGCTTATAAATAACTTCACACTTATTTGTGACGCAAATATATTTTGACGTTAAGAGTTCGATTCTTTATAATCTGTGGTTCGATTCGATGATAAAGATCTTTATCGTCTGTGGTTCGATTCTATTTCATGTACGACCGATTCAGTTGATGGCAAGAGAGAATAATATGGATACAGAACCTAAAAAAAAGGGGGCGCTCCTCAAATTAATCTTGTGGATACAAGGGTATCATTAAAATAAAGAGACAGATAAGGCTGAAACAATTAGAGCAGGAAATTAACAATAAAAAGGATCTAAAAGAAACGACTCTTTCGGATTTAAAAATTTTAGAAGAAAAAGAAAAACTTAATATTTGTATTATAATAATAAACAAGAAGTGACTAGTTACAAAACATCAAAATTAGACAAAATTTTAAAGTGGCACATAAGGAGTCCGAACTTAATAGGGGAAATTGACAAAACCCACTAAATTGCACAAATTAGATCATACTGACGTTGGCTGTTTTGGTAGCGTTTCGGTACAAATCAATCAACAGAACACCAGCGTCTAAGGAAGATTTTTGTATACATAAAGTTCGGACTCCTTGTGTGGCTCCATGGTATATATGTTACCGGCAAAGTAAAAAATCCGGCAATGTGCGAAATGTCTACATACTCTGCAAACAGACCATTTTACCAGTGATTGTGCAAAATCACTACTAGTGAAATGACTGCTAGTGATTCACTAGCATTTTGGGCAATCTGCGAATTTACTACGCTGTTTAAGGCAATGTGCAAAATGTCTGATGCGATAGTCAATCCGAGGATTAAAGGTTTTTACTTCTCACATTGACTAGGTAGTGTGCGCAACACTAATTTACGACACAAATGTAAAATTGAAAAACAGAATTTTGTTTTTAGAAAAGAAAAACCACAAACAAAAATAAAATTAACAAACACTTTTTATTTTGTATGACGATTGTTAATGTAAATATGTACTGAATTATAATGTGTATACAGAGGTGTCCCTCTATAAAATATCCGTTATATGTTTTTTTGGGACGAATAAAGAATTATTTATTTATTATTATTATTTATTTATATAATGGTTGGGTTGGGTTTTTATTGAATAATGTATTTAATTTCTCTAAAAATTTTCCTTTATTCCCGCTCGCCATTATGAATCTCTGACTGAATAGCGAATTTCGACATAAGTAAAAGTATTGCGCACATTGCCTAGTCATTGTGAAAAGTAAAAATCTTTAATCCTCAGATTGACTATCGCATCTGACATTTTGCAGATTGCCTAAAATACTGTAGTAAATTTGCAGATTGCCCAAAATGGAAGTGATTTTGCACAATTTCCGGTAAGTACAAAAAAAAATCCAACCAATACAAGCCGAGAAAAACAAATATTTTAATTATATTTTTAACACACCTCGTAATTAAACTTAATCAATTTTTAATTTAATTTACCATGTTTTTTAATTTATTTATTTTTAGTCACTTTAAGAGCGCAGCAGCACTTTTAATCATTTTTGTGACCAGCTCTTGGATAACCACAGGCTACATAGCATATAGTCACAGTCATATACCAGGATCCGACGATCCTTTAGCGTTATTTGACAAAATTTATGACAAACCCTGGACACGTTTGGGACCATATTTAATTGGAATGTGTTGCGGATGGCTGTTATTTAAAAAAGACTGCCGTATCAGAATGTCAAAGGTAAAAGGCGAACAAGTATTAAAAAATTCCAGCGTTGACAGCTTGAGTGTTGCCTAAATTTCAATGCAATGCATTAAGAGTAAAATCTTAAATTCTTGTAAACATATTTGTTTATTTTAGCTTACCTTAACTGTTGGTTGGACAGCTTCAGTATCAGTATTATTATCGTTAGTCTACGGTTTATACGAAGTTAATTTACACCCTATAGCTGGAGCCGCATACAGCTCCCTAAGTCATTCAGCATGGGCAATGGGACTGGCCTGGATTGTGGTGGCATGTGTCACTGGCCATGGAGGAGTTGCAAATAAAATCCTATCGTCAACTATTCTTTACCCATTTAGCAGAGTAACTTATTGTGTCTATTTAATACATCCAATTGTTATAAGGTTAATGGTGATGAGTACAGACAGCCCTATGCATTTGGGTTTTATAATAACTTTTATAATATTTTTGGGACAATCAGTGGCGTCATACGCTTTAGCGTTTTTTGTTTCACTTGCTTTTGAAGCACCTGTTGTATCATTATTAAGGATAATGTCTAAAGTAGTAGCGAATAGAAAAACGGTAGCTGATGCCAGCAATCCGTGATATTGTTTAGTTTTAAAATTTTTGTAAATAGCTGTTTTTGTTAAATAAATTGTTTTATAAAATATACCAAAAATGAACTGTAGAATTATACGCATTTTGGGGCTTAAGTACCTTGTTACCTACCTGCCTTAACATACAAGTATTAAATCTAGTTTTATACATTCTTGTATTTATTAAAGTATCCTTTACTTTATAAATGGTTTTATTCAAACGATTTAATTTAAATCCCCATAACCAAATATGTAAATTGCATGTTTTAAACTAATAAAATATAAAAAATATTTATTTTCTCATATTAAATAAAAATTACTTAAAAACCCATAATTATGTAGGTATCTTATTTATATTTTTGCGCATGGTATAACTTATATATATATATACATATAAATATCAAAATCAGTCATTGCCTTCAACAGCCACTTCAGTAACAGTGTAAACGTAAAATGGACCCTCTTTTACATAAGTCTGAAGCCTAGTACGTATAGATTGATCAAAAACTTCACTTGTGGATAATATCTTTATTATTTCAAACTTCACCTCCTTGCATTCTTTGACTGATTCCACTAACCTGTCCAATAAAAATTCAATAAGGCCTGAAAATAATATTTTGTTTTATACAAATGTTAACAACAAAATTAGACATATTACCAGGTGTGTTTCTAATATCTTCATGTCCCCAGTAATGACCACATACAGCCCTTAAAATACTTAGACCAGCAACTCTGGTTTCAGGAAATGGGTTTTTAGAATACTTAACAATTAAATCCATTGGTATGTCACCAAATAAATTATACCACTTGCGAGAAATACTAGAAATTTCATTTCTATATTCTCCAATTTTTACCAATTTTTCTAGACAATTAAGGGCTGTGATTCTTACATCATTTGGCAAGGATGGTAACAGTTTAATTATTACTTTAACAGCATATTTCATCTTATTTCCTAGAAAGTAAAAATACTAAATTATTATCAAGGGTTTTCAATATAAAAAATAAACTTACCAGTCGAGTCCAAAGCAATTTTACCTTCATTCAGTTCAGCAATATGCCCTAAAGTATCTAATGAAACCGAAACAATAGTTAAATTACCAGTTTCCAAATTTGAAAAAAGTCTGTCAAAAAACTTGGGATACTTGGAAAGAACTTCTATAGGTCTCCAATGAGCAATATGACCAAAAAACTTTAAAACTCCTGGTTCGCAGAGCTGAACAGCCACAGGATCTTGATTTTCATCAAACAAAAGAAACATTTTATTTAATATTCCATTTGATTCCAAATAAGTATATCCATGCCTGCTTGTGCCCAACTGAGTTAACAGTTCAAGAATATTCATTTTTAATAGAATATCATTGTTGTCCAGTTCTTCAAGAATTTGGTTTACAAGGCCTGTTGATTGTAAAATTATAAAATTTTCCTCTGATTCTTTGGAAATGCTGACAACCAACTAAAAATTAAAAAATATTTATAAGAACAATAACTATGGTTGCCAGTTTTCAATTTAAGCTAGATACACATTTAAACTTATATGGAATCACCCAGTAATTACGAGAATCAGTATTTCACTTGAAAAAAAGTAACTTGAAAATAAAAAGTAGTTTATCCAAACCTATTATATTACAAATATAAAGAAAAAATTAATAAAACAAATGTTATAGAAAACAAATAACAAAAAATGTGAATTTCTATGAGAATAAACATTATGGTAAATTAGAATTTAAGAAGAAATAGGTTTTTGTTAATTTAATAATTAGTGTTCTCACCTTCAGCGTCAATAGGTGCATTCTTTTTGACTGAGATCACAGTTAATCTCAGCCCCCATCGGTTAAATTTGCAAATGTGCGCGTTCTTTTTACTTCAGTTACCTCAAAGTAAGCTGAGATTTTTGCTCACCCTTCACTGATACTGCATATGCTGTGCGAAGGTATCAGTTTGAATTGAGTCGAAAATAAAGTGGAGGTTTAAAATATCATTACTGTCCTCATCAAATAAAACGTTTATTAATGTATTATTAATAATTATAATTTAACGCAAGTTTAATGTTGTTCTATAATTTTAATTAACAATATTTTTGTTTAACTGACAAGTTTAGGTCATGTTTCCTTTACAAAAAAACCTCTAATTCACGTTGCCACACTTATGTTCTGAGTTGCCACTTAATCAACCACCCTGCGCGTTTCAATTAAGGAAACTTTAAATATGTCGTTCTTTTTTACGCTTACTCACCTCACTACATCTCAGCTGACTTTAAATTAAGTGAGTTGAGATCTCAGTCGACTAATGCAAGCTCGAATTAAACGAGGCATGCATTATTTCTTTTTGGGGAAAATTATCACACTCCTCTAAAAGTGCTTTGCGCCGCCAGGGTTATTTTAAACCTTATCCTTATGATCGGGTGAACCAGAAGGCAACTCTAAAACAATCACACATTCCATTTCTAAACAATTTTTGTCAACCCTGCTGGTATGTAGACGTGCATTATCCGACAAATAAAAAAACACCGAATACAGTACCCTGCTTAAAATACTCCATAGAGACCCTGTTCAAACCGATAGATATTTGTATCGGGATGTATGGTGTTTCTATAGGGTGTATCGGTTTGTATAGGACCCATAGTTGAGATTTATGGTTGTTCTATAGGGATATCCACCTTTGATTTATTTGCTATCGGTTTCAATAGGGAAAATACACATAAATGTAGAAATTAGTTTTTCCCCTATAGGACCCCATAGGTTTTAATAAAATTTTGTCAAATGTTTTATGGTTACTCTATAGGGATATCCCTATATATCCTTCATTGAGTTATTTAAATAGCAATTGCTATTGGTCTCAATAGGGAAAATGTAAAAGTTATGGTGTGCCTATAGGTAATTTCCTATACATTTTCTATCGGGCCGTATCCGGAAAAAACCATGGACAAATGCACATATTGAATCCGGTAGCGCCCGATAGATTATTTTGTATAGGTCTCTATGGGGTATTTTAAGCAGGGTAAAGGGTTCCACAACTATTACTGCAAAATTGAGTTTAAATTGGTATTTAAAGCATCAAAACTGGACAATTTCAAAATGGCGAAATGTATTATTTTCAGAATTGGCCTACAATCAGACGACCGGTAAATTTGTGTTTTAATAGGTCGTGGGAGACAAGCTGGGCTTCGAGCACATTTTAATTTAAAAATTTTAGACCCCCACCGTCATATAATGTTACAAATATTTTTAAAAATGTTGACTGACTTAGTACTTAGCAACTAATTACTGCTATGTAGTGAATGGCCCTTGCTTGGTTTAATTGGATAAAAATCGCAATCAAAGAGTCCTAAAGAGTTGCTTGCACTATATTTACGGTAGGTTTAAGAAAGTTCGACTCAGTATCCCATAAATTAAAAACCGCCAATTGATTAACCATGGAGGAACATTACACCTGGATACATTGTGCCACCTTATTGTTGACAAATGCCATGCATACCCCTTCAATAAAATATTATCCAGAACTCATGTACATACATTGCCTCTACGCTTTAAAGGCCTAATAACTCCACCACAACATGGTACCGCTCGGTTTTGAGGATGTGGATGAGATTCATTTGTGTTAAAATTAAATTATTATATATTTTTCTTGTTTGGAACTAGAATCAGTTTACTGCCTTCCAGTCCATTTGGTATAAATTAGTTAGTACCTATAGAGTAGAAATTTGCCAAATGATTTTAGATGTTGTCATGAAAATTAAAAATAAATATTAAATCATAATCTACTCAGTAGTAGAAACATTTGTTTTTAAAACTTCATTCGTTTTTTACAATGTATGATTAAAAAAATTGTAGAATTCGATTTAAAAATAACTATTTATAAAAAAAAATTAAGAATGCCAAAAAATAAATGCATTTAACAATAAAATTTTCAAAAACGTGCTATTATTTTTTTGGGTACTTTTTTAAGAAATCGTTTAAACATTTTTGTGATCGCCCCTTGAGTCAATGATAAATAATATTGTTTAGCGCTGCGCCACATTGACAGGCGTACGAAATATTTAATCAAATGGAAAATATTTAATTGTCCTTAAACATAATTTAAACTTAATTCTTGCTTTTTTTCGTTATTAAATTTTTAACCAAATTTGTGTATTTTTACATTGATCCTCTATTGTGACTCAAAACCCAACTTTTTCCCTTATCAAATTTTGCGCTATAAAAATTGTTTTACCGCCACTATTTTAATAAATTTTTAGAAGCGACACTATTAGATTTTTTTAATACCTATGTCAGTTATTTTATATAGAAGGTATTTTTTTATTGTTATCAAAACGTGCCCCAACGATCTCTCTTGAATTTTATGTTTTTGCATCAAATATTAATAGAAAAAACTTTTTAATGTTTGAGTATGAGTATGAGTATGAGCATGAGGACGTATGGCAGGCCCCATCGGCTTACACTGATCTCCCTGGGACTATTTTTACCCCCTTTACGTTCTCCTACGTATCCCACAAGTGGACAGCATTACCTGTGTTTGTTAAATCCGAATTTTTACGTTGGCTGGTATATCTCCCATAGGAGGTCGTGGATGACGATGTAGATGGTTAAGGCCATTCCCGGAATTTTGTCGCCGGGCCGACTATACGCCCAGTTTAGGCTAGTGGAGTGCGGGACAAGGAGGGAGAATAGGTTGGTTTTTGGAGGACATTAAACTGACCCAAAACTAAGTACAATCCGGAATCCTCCTCAACCAGGGCTTTATTAATAACCCCATTCAATTGGGATTCTTGAATGGGGGTAGATGGGTTAGTACGATGCTAATACCTATCCTAGTTGGTTTACTTCCTGTACGTCATTCCGTGTCACTGTCCGAGTTGGATTCCGAAAGTTGGTACAGTTTTTCCGTCGCTTCCCGCATAAGGTTTTTGTGGGTGCTGATGTGTTCCCATCGGTCGCGGTCGAGTGGTCCTTTAAGTACGCCTTTGTTTTACGTTCCAAGTTCTGTAATGTGTGCATAACGATGGGGTTGGTCAAGGATCGCCTTAAACGTATGGTCTGTATGTCTCTATGTGGGTTCTTATCTGGTAGTTCAGTCTTTGTCTTAGTGCGTGTGTACTTCCTTTTGTTGACCTGATCGGGCTATTGTTTAGTTGGTGTGCTAAGCTGGCCACTAAGCAATTTCCGTCGGGTGGTATTAATTAGGCCTACTGAGTGATCTATCGTATTGACGATTTTCATGTTTGTTTTGGTTTGGCTTTATTAAGATTTATGGCGTTTATTTATGGGTTTTGTCGAATGTTTATTTGGGGAATGATGCTAATGTTTTATGTCTTTCCTATTTCTATTTTTTTTTTTTTTTTTGATTTATGGGTTGACTGGGAACGGTTTGTTTTTTGATTCCAGATGGGATTCTTGGTAATTTACGTTGCGAAGTTTGCGTTGTTAGGTTTTAACTTTTAGAGTTTATAGATTAAAATGGAATTGGTATTATTATTAGGTCATGCAATTAGGAAAATTACTTAGCTGGATTAATTAGACTTGAATTCTGTTGCTTAGTCCTTAACAAACAGACCGTTGCAACGGTTGCGTTGTTCCTTGGCCTCGTCTGCTGGCTTTTAGCACGCGTTGATTGTGGTGGTGATCCAGATAGCCAGGTAGTCAGGTAAGTTTATCGTTGTGACCTAACCTTAGTCACTCTCTCTCACATACTTTTACGACGTTAGAGCACTTTGTTACTTAAACCGGGGGCCAAAACCAAATTGGTATAAAAATAAAAACCTTATTATTAAAATATATAGGTATAAATTTATTCATTTAAACCAAATGTATTGAAACAATAACATTTAAATTTTAAAAGTAGTGGTTAAATAATTTAAAAATAGTTTTCGTGATGGGTCGTGCAAAAAGATGCTGCAATCCTTTAAGTAAGCATAAAAAAGTAACAAAAAATCTTTATTTTGTCACAAAAAAATGGAATAAAATAATGCAAAAAAATAAATGCTTTTTAAAAACTTTTGTTGGACTACATATGTGCAATTTTTCTCGACGATCGATTTACGAGAAAAAAGTGAATCAAATTTTTTCTTTTTAAAAACTCAAAATAAAATCGTTGTCGAAGAAAATGACTCTGCATACTATCCTGAACACGATTAAAAAGGTGACCAAACGTTTCAATATGGAGAACCTTCAAAAATATTTTTAAAACTTTTTCAGAAAGAAAAGCAAATGTTTAGTAAAATATTAGGTGAAAAAAAACTTTGTACATTCGTGACATAAAAGCTGCTCTATCTCAGCAATCCAACAGATTTGGAAAAATACAAATTTACAAATTTTGACAACTGTCCCGCAATATTGGATGATTGCAAAAATGAGAAAAGAATTCGAAGTGTCACGCCGAATGGCATCAAAAGCAAATAAAAACATTAAATTTCATCGATTCCCGAAAAACTTTGATTTGTGCAAACAGTGGTTAAAT